TCCCCCATTGCGCTGGGAGGTAATGTTGAGGCAGGCCCAAGCGTGGGGGGCAAGGGTATCGCTTTTCACCACTTGAGTACGGTAATCAATCGGTCGTCGGCTGAAGGAAGGAAGTCGTCAAAGGTGTCACTGACAGCGCGAGCGGCTTCTGAGCGTCTGTTGGGCACTGTAGAAGATGCGGCCGTAAGAAGTGTGTCCAGGTTTGCGAAGACTGAGCTGATAAGGGCCTTCTGCTCATCGCAGATTGTGAGACCCCTTGTAACAATCCAGATTTTTAATTATTCTGTAGAATTTATACTAATATTATTTAATCTAAGTTCGGAAAATTTATAATTTATTATATATTATTATGTGTAATTTTGTAAAATAATATAATTATTAAAAGTTTAGGGGTCAAAATATAAATAATGATAATAATAATAATAATAATAATAATAATAATAATAATAATAATAATAATGGGTGTGGTAATAAAATAATTAATTAATTTTCTGTTGGTATACGATAAAGTGTAATTTAATTAGAAATTAAATTATTTATATAATTATATTAAAATATTGGGTCAAAGGGTAATTATCTTAAATATCTATTAAGGATAAGAATGAATCTGTATAATTATGAATTAAATCTGAGCGAAAGCGACGTCTAGCCACGTGGAGGCCACGTACGCGTCTCTCCTCCCTATAAAAGGGAGAAGACGTTTCACCTTAAGAAAGGAAAAGAAAGGAAAGAAAAGAAACAAGGAAGAAAGGAAAGGAAAGAAAGAAAGAAAGGAAAGAAAAAATAGTGGAAGTTAAAAGGTCTTTGATAGTGGAAAGAAAGAGTAAGGTATTAAAGTTAAGGTGAGTTATATTATACCTTGAGTCACCAAAATGTATTTTACTTATATTTTGACTTAGCATAATCTATTTTACACAAGTTATGTTTTATTAGTATATTAATAAAAGTTATGTTTTATAAAGGTTTCAGTAACGTGGATTATTTTCTGAACCCTATTTGCTTAAAAGGAAACCCATGGATATGTTTGTTTATATTTTAAAGAATATTTGATTATGACCTTATATACAATTATATTTTGTAAGTACCACAACGGGATTCTCATGCCTTAGGGGATTTAAATAACTATTGGCCTCTGTTTGACCACTTTGTGGTCCTCTATCTGTCATGGATCCATTGACCTCTGTTCTGTGCGGACCAAAGTGTTGTGTGGAGCTAAGTGCTACACTATTGTGGGAGCCACCTCTAGAATCCGTACGGGCCACCTCTTGAATCCGTACCTCTATTCTAACTGTCATTTATGTGACCTCTGTTCTGTTATGTTTTGTACCGTGGTTATGGTCATTTACTTACATAATTTATGTATTTCAGTTTCTGCCACTTAAATGAAAATAATCTCAGTTTTGCTACTTAAAGGATTATTTGTTCCGACTAAGCTACTACTGATTTATGTACCAAACTGAGTTATACAAATGTTTTGGCTGCATAACTATCCATGGTTATTTCGTGTCCCTTATACTCTTGGTATAATATTTCTCACTCTGCCATGTGTTTATAGTTGTTTACCAATTTTCAGGAAACAATGCAATTCAGAAATAGCCTTTGGAAAGTCTTATATGCGGGGCTGCGGAATAGACACACACAGCACTTTTATGATATTTTTCTATGTAAATATTGACATTTTTGGTCAATAAATTTTGTAATAAAAATAGAAGCTCCGATGATTATTTTGGCACCCTCATTTAAATATTTCTTCCACTTGCGTTTATTGATTTGTTTAAGAATTGGCCGGAGGTAACCTCAGTTACTGGCCATCACGATGCTTAACCCTTGGGTACGGGGAGCGGGTCGTGACACCCCTAATTTTAGTAAACCCTATTAGGTCCTTAAATTTTGAGTTATTATAAGAAAGCCCTTAGTACGTTGATTATTCGTAAATTAAACAGTAAAATCGAAAGCACATCACGAACGAACCCATACAAACCCTAATCGAGCCTGGAAGCTTAGAAATCATTTCTAACATTCTAATATTAATTATTTAACTCTCAAATTTTAGATTAATCTCTTTAAACCTTAACTTCTGATTTTCACAGTTTTTATTCGATTATTTACCTTTAAATACAAAGCAAGATAATACAAACCAAATTATTTTTCCTAACACTAATTTATTAACTCTACACTTGAAATAGATATTTTAATTAAGCCCAAGCCCTCACATTTTTCTTGAATCACATTTTAACCCCAAACTAGTACCATTATACACACACACACACACACACATATATATACTTGTACCTTTCTTAAATAAATAATTTTGTACACAAAATATCGTTATATATATATATATATAATCAACAAAAATCTCCCAAAATTCCTTGCACATGGCCAGCCACCCTTGGAAAGAGAAATTGATATAACTTTTTCAAACCATATCCATGAAATTAAGGGGAAAGTTTGCTAGTACACCTCAAAACATGGAACCTTGTCTCCACCTTAAGTTCAATCCTAACTGTGTGAGTGATTTTTCGACCACACTGCCCGCCTAGTAATCAGCTGGAGAGCACCGGCAGAATAGATGGCCTTAGTAACCTGTAACAAAAAGAAAAAGGCTCTGGCGGTGGCTCTTCCACCCGGGGGCACTCCGACGATCAAGTCAGTATATCTCTCAAAGATAATCAAGTGCTAAACTCACAAGCTTGAGTATAAAACTGTGTACCTTAGACCCATGGGGGTGCCTCTCTTTTATAGTTTACTCAATCCAAGTCCTACTAGAAGCCTGACTTCTATGGACTCCAATTTAATACTTACTTTGGATTCTTCAAGAGATAAAGATAAACTCCCTAAGAGCTTTATCCTTATCTTGGCTAAGTCTCCTCTTTGTCCTAGGACTCTTGTTCCTTATCTGCTTATCTCGGATTCCGATATCTTCGGAGATAACCTCGGCAACTCCGAGATCATCTCGACGTAACTACCATGACACGTGGCACTTCGGCTGACACGTCGGCGTTGCCATGCCACGTGTTGGTATCCAAGAAATATATCCCCACAACTGCCCCCTAGGTTTTATTACCTCGGCATATTACCTCGGCATCCTGAGGTGATGGAACCTACATCGATATTTCTTTCTGCATAGTGGCTCAAAAACTGTTTGGCCGAAATAATTCATTTTCAAGCCGATGTGTTCTCTTCGGAGAACAAGAATTCAAATGAACTCCACCACGCGCATGAGCTGTCATGCACATCTAACCGTTCCTTTCACGTGCTTTGTCTTCATTGGCCCGTGTCTGTGACGCGCCTGAAAGTTGTCTTTTACTCGTCTGCACCGTCTGACGTGTGCGTTGCTCCAGGCGTGATAAATGCCCTGCCTTTGCCGTCGTTTTAAATTTTTTGATAAAACTTTTCTTTCCCTCTTCCTTTTTCCACTTTTTGCATTCTGATTTCTTGCTTTTTTCTCTCTCTAAAAGCTCCAGTATTCTTCGAATCTGCCATTTGCTCTAAGCCCCAAACTCTGCGACAGTCTTTATTCTTCCATTCCCGCGAAGCTTTTGCCACTGTTACAACTGTCGTCTGATCTCGGCGAATATCGTTCCGGCTTCATTTTGGTAAGCAACTGGCCCCCTTACCCTCTTTTTCTAATTCTTGATTATTTCTGAAGTTTCTTGCTATTACTGTTCTTTTTAAGCATTATTTGGGAATCATTCACCTGAATGCGTCTTATTTCATGATTTTTCACATGCCATGAACACTTGCACTGTTTCACCACTGTTCTTGGCCCTTAACCCTTTGTATTCTTCGTATTCTTGATAGCCCATCCCTGTTCTTGTTTCTGAAACTTCGCCTTTGTTCTCTGTTTTTTTGTGTCTTTACCAGATCTGTGCCCTCGATCTTCGTCTTTATAGTTTTAGGTTTGGGATTTGTCTGTAGAACCTTCAATCTTTAGGAAAAACTGAAACAAACCTTACCAGTCCTTACCCAGGTTTGAAACCGAGGTTCTAGCAACCCTTCTGAAACACCTATCTTTTGAAACACAGCCTTCTTTGTTTAGGCCGACGTAATGGGTATGTGGAGACACCGGGTAAACACCCCAACTAAACTTGAATTTTTTAGGCAAGAATTCTCCATTCCTGCCGATGTCCACCTGAGGCTGGCTGAAGATAATGACTCTATCATGCCCACGGATAATTCAATGCCCTTTCCTATAGTAGCTTTTACTGAGTGCGGACTCCGGCTTCCACTCAATCCCCTTTTTCGTGAGGTTCTTCACTTCTATAAGTTGAACCCCATGCAACTTACCATCAACTCCTATCGAGTGATTAATGGTATCATAGCCCTAACTAGGCAGGAAAATGTTAGGATCACCCTTGCTGATGTACAATATTGTTATACCATGTGCCCCCTTAACCTGAAGGAAAGAGGTTACGTCTACTACCTCAAGCCGAGGTCTACTGAATTCAAAATTGTAGCCGACCTCCCGGACTCCAACAAGGGAGTCGGGGATGACTTTGTCATTGCTTCGGGAAATTGGGAATTTGGTCCAGACGAAGATGTTCACCTCTACCCTCTTCTTCGAACAGTTAAAGAGGGCAAGGGTAAGAGCCCAGCATCAATACTTAGTTATTTCTTTTCCAAGTCTTCAAAACTTTGTCCGTTTCTAATGTTTGTTTGTTTGTCCTGCAGATCTTCATCAACTACCAAAAAACTTTCGCCAATCGTACTTCCCAGGAAAAGATTTAAAGAAGCTCCTTGATCTTCCAATCCACAAGTGCAAGGCTCCCCTGTTACTGAATTTTATTCCGACATACAAATCCACACTACCCGACGTCCCAAAAAGGAAGAAAAAGAGTCTTTCTCCACCTTCTGCCACAACTCCTCCCATTGCTTCCACATCACGAGCAGACGAAGGATCCACTTCTGACCCAGTCGATCTGCCATCTACTTCAGCCCCATACTTAGTCCCAATACCAGAAAGAAAACGTCGGCGTCGACTTGTCAAAACTGCTGAGATGGGTCGCCCGAAGCCTATTGCTGTAGATCTTTTAGCCGACTTACCTGCCGATGTTGATGCTATTCCAGCTCAATCCATGCCCTCTCCAAAGCCCAAAAGAATCAAAAAGGCTCAGCTCAAGGCCAAAGCCGCTGAGGTTGAGGCTGAGGATGCTCTGCCCATCTCTCAATTGGCCGAGAATAGAAAGAGTACCTCTACTTCTGCCAAGAGGTCTGCTGAGGCCCAACCATCAGGATCCACTCAATCAAAGAAGCTGAGGTCATCGTCTGTGACGACCTCGGGTTCCAAGAAATCCGATGTCCCTTGGGCCCCCAAGTTGACTTTGGAGGATAGGCCAATTATGTCAACTGAGAGTGCCGACGACATTAATGTTGGTGTCGCCCTCAGTACTACTCTTCTTCTTCCAAGCGATCTGGAGCGAAATGCTGGGTACAGCGAGTATGAAAACTACGCGCTAATGCTTCAGCACTCCGTTCAAGTAAGTGTTTCCTGTTTTGACTTTTCTTTCTGCTTCATACTTAAAAGATTTTCTAACGCTTTTGTTTTCTTTCAGGCCATCCAGCACGCCCATTCGTTTTCAATGCAATCTTTTGAAAATCGGCAAAGAGTGGCCGACATGAAGAAGGAGGTTTCTGCCCTCAAAAAGGAGAACAAAGCTATTCTGACAAAGATGAAGAAGCTGGAAGATCAGGCCGAGGCTGCCATTAAGGCCCAACAGATGACCGAAGAAAAAGCGGAGTCTGCTGAAGCCATCAAAAAAGTTACCGAGGCCAAGAAGAAAGATGCCGAGGTAAAAAAGGCTCAAGCCGAAAAAGAGCTCGAGCAGGCCCTGGCCACTAAAAACGCCGAAATTACTGAAGTAGATGAAAAAGCTTACACCCAAGGAATGGCCGATGTTGCTGAGGACTACAAACTGCAAGTTAGGCAGGCATGCAACAGGGGCTTTTCCCTTGGTTGGATGTCCTTGGCCAAAAAGCTCAATGTTCCTGAAGATTCTCCTCTGCACAAGGCTGAAGCTATTCCTCTACCATTCCCTCCTCCTGCTCCATCTTCAAGTCAAGCTGAAGATGAGGCAGATTCTGAGGCTGATGATGAAGATAATAATGAAGATGAGGCCTTGGTGAGGAAATCCAAGGATGCTACTGAGGCCAAGTCCCCTCCTTCAACTAAGCAAATCATGGACTTAACTTTGGATGAAGAGGGCGATGAGGTTGGGGAGGCGCCTAGGGAAGCTGTTACAGGGATACTATCATCCAACCTCCTTTTAGCTGAAAGAAGTCTTGACAAAACGCTTGCAGAGATCGATGCCGAGCTTGAAGCAGAAAAGATTGTCGAGGAGGTTCCGCCAGAATCTTCCGAGGTCCCAGCACCTCCAGCTGTTAATGCTGAAGAATCCTTATTTGAATGTCTTTATTTCCTTGCCTTTTTTATACTCTGTTTTGTTTTCTGAACAATGTAGACTTCCTTTTATGGCCGATGTGCCTTCCCTTTGTATATAACTGCAATTGTTTTTCTATGGATGCTTCAATCTTTTAATTTCTCCTTGATTTGCTTCTGCATGGTTGTATGCCTTTTATATTTTGCCACTTTTGTGCAATCTCCTCGGGGTTACATACCTCGGGTATAACAATCATCCAACTTTACTTCGGCAAGATACAGACCTGAAAACTCTGCAAGTTTAATATATACTATCCAACAATCATCCAAGTGTTTAATATATACTATCCAATAATCATCCAAGTGTTTAATATATACAATTCAATATTAACTCTGCAAGTTTCTTCTTAAGTTTCAACAAGTATGTAAACAGTGATCTCGGTCTAACCTACTTGTAAATTGCTACAAATTTCAACAAGTGTTAACATATACTGTAAACTGTTCTCAAGTTATAACAAGTGTTAAATAATGGTCTACTTGTAAATTGCTGCAAATTTTAACAAGTGTTTGAACAATATACTTAGCTTTTACTTCAACCTACAAATTGCTGTAAATTTCGGCGGATGATCACATGTCGGCTTAACATTATCTTGTAAATTGCTACAAATTTCAACAAGTGTTAAGCATCTTCTTTGGTTTGAATCAACCTATAGATTGCTATAAGTTGTAAACTATAACCTCGGCTTCACTTCGACTTGTAAATTGCTGCAAATTTCAACAAGTGAAGAGAAACAGTAATCTCGGCTTATCTTCAACTTGTAAATTGCTACAAATTTCAACAAGTGAATTAAGGAATAATCTCGGCTTAACTTCGACTTGTAAATTGCTACAAATTTCAACAAGTGATAGACGCATTCTTCATCTTCCTGCCCCCAATGTGAACCTGAGTTCTACTTGGGTTCTTATTATTCATGTCTCCAAAAACATAAGTATGTAATTTTATCAGTCATATGTGTTGAAAGAACTCTGAAAAAACTTTATTAAAGACATCGGCAAAAAATACTGCACATCAAATGATAGAAGAATTTCAAATTACAAGTGTTCCAAGGTCTTGGCAGTGCTTTGCCCTCGTTATCTTCAAGCCGATAAGCTCCATTGCCTAATACCGAAGTAATTCTATAGGGTCCTTCCCAGTTTGGGCCAAGTTTGCCCTCTCTGGGATCCTTTTTGTTGCTGACGACTTTTCTTAGGACTAGGTCGCCGACTTGAAAATCTCTTGGATTGACCTTTTTGTTGTAAGTTCTAGCAAGCTGTTGCTGGTATACTGCTAGTTGAATTGTAGCTTTTTCTCTTCGTTCTTCCAGAAGATCCAGATCTCGGGCTAAGAGTATGTCATTGGTGCCATTCTCTACTCCCTGGGTCCTGATCCCTGGGATGCCAATCTCTAATGGGATGACTGCTTGTGTGCCATAAGCCACGGCAAAAGGGGATTCTCCTGTTGATCTTCTCGGCGTAGTCCGATATGCCCAAAGCACGTTGGGCAATTCGTCTACCCACTTTCCTTTTGCTGCCTGCAGCCTCTTCTTTATTCCATCCAAAATTACTTTGTTGGATGCTTCTGCTTGACCATTACTTTGGGGAAAACTTGGTGTTGAAAAGTAGTTCTTGATCTTGAATTTGGCACAAAAGTTCTTGATAAGTTTGCTGTCAAACTGTGTTCCGTTGTCGGCAACTATTGCCCTTAGAATGCCAAATCTGGTGATGATGTTTCTCCATATAAAGTTCTTGACGTCCACATCTCGGATTTTGGCAAGAGGTTCTGCCTCTATCCATTTTGTAAAGTAATCTGTTGCCACCAGCAAGTATTTTCTCTGCTCAGTTGCTTGGGGAAGTTTCCCAACCAGATCCATGCCCCATTGGGCAAACGGCCAAGGGCTGGATACTGGGTTTAGGTCAGCAGCTGGCTGATGTATCAAAGGTGCGAACTTTTGGCATTGTTCACACTTCTTTACGTAGGCTTCAGCATCCTTTTGCATGTAGGGCCACCAATACCCCTGGGTATTGGCCTTGTGGGCTAATGATCTGCCCCCAACATGGCTTCCACAAATTCCTTCATGAATTTCATAGAGGAAACCCTCAACCTACAAATGGTGTACGCACCTTAAAAGTGGTCTAGTGAAGGACCTTCTGTAGAGATGTCCATCTTCTGTTAGATTGAATCTTGCAGATTTTAATCTGATTTTGTGTGCCTCCTTACGATCTTCTGGCAGCTTTCCTTCTTTTAGGAATGCAACAATTGCATCCATCCAGCTTGGCCCCATGTCCACACACATTGCTTGCTGCTCTGTGCTCTGTGGTTCTATGCTCGGGCCCGACATATAGTCGATCATAATTGTCCTTGTTTTTCCCGTCTGTATTGAACTTGCCAGGTTAGCCAACGCGTCGGCGTGGGTGTTGTCATCTCGGCTAACTTGGAGTAGTCGGCAGTTCTGAAATAGGGCTGCCAATCTAATGACCTCTTTTGCATATGCCGACATCCTTTCGGCCCTGGCTGCAAATTTACCTGTTGACTGGTTAACAATAAGTTGTGAATCACAAAAAACTATTACCTCATCTGCTTCTGCTACTGCTGCCAGTTTTAGCCCTGTAATTAATGCTTCGTATTCCGCTTCATTGTTTGAGGCCTTGAACCCCAAACGGATAGACTGTTCTATTATTTCTCCATCTGGAGATATCAGCAGTACTCCTGCCCCTGCTCCTTGACGGTTTGAACTGCCATCGACGAACAGTCTGAATGAATCGCCGATGTAGATGCTGTAGGGTCTGAGTTTTTCCTTCCTTTGCTCTTTTGCCTTTGGCTGGGATTCTCCTTGCTTGCTGGGACAGTGCTCATCCTGGCTCAACGGAGCCCGATGTTTGATGGTTTCGGGCGTGAATTCTGCTACGAAGTCGACCAAAACTTGGCCTTTAACTGCTATTCTTGGCCTGAACTCCAGATCATACTAACCTAGGGCTACGGCCCATCTTGCTATCCTTCCTGTTAAGTCTCCTTGCTGCAACAAGGACTTCAGTGGATGCTCTGTTAAGACCACAATCTTGTGCGCCTGAAAGTAATGGTTCAACTTCTTTGAAGCCATTACTAAGGCTAGCATTAATTTCTCCAGTGGTAGATACCTTGTTTCTGCATCGACCAAGGATTTACTTACATAATAAACAGCCTTTTGCTTCCCTTTTTCTTCTCGGATTAGTACTACACTGACTGCGTGTTCTGAAACTGCCAAGTACAAAAACAGTTCTTCCTCTGGTTCTGGGTTGGAAAGAACCGGAGTTGTGGTCAAGTACTTTTTTAGGTCGGTCAAAGTGGCTTCGCATTCTTCTATCCATAGAAAGTCTGCGGCTTTTTTCACCAAGTTGAAGAAGGGTCTGCATTTATCTGAGCTTCTGCTGATGAATCTGTTTAGGGCTGCGGCCCTTCCAGTAAGCATCTGAACCTGTTTTGCCGACGTCAGGCTCTGTAGCTCTAAGATAGCCTTGATTTGGTCTGGGCTGGCCTCAATGCCCTTTCTAGTTACCAGATACCCTAAAAACTTACCTGATCCAACTCCAAACGCGCACTTTGATGCGTTGAGTCAGAGCCGGTATGTTTTGAGTATATCAAAGACCTCTTTTAGGTCGGCAAGATGACCCTTAGATTCCTTGGTCTTCACGACCATGTCATCGATGTAGACTTCTACCGTTTTGCCAATCAGGTGTTTGAACATTTTTGTTACTAACCTTTGGTATGTTGCTCCTGCGTTTTTCAACCCAAAAGGCATTACCTTGTAACAGTACAGGCCTTTAGGGGTGATGAACGCAGTCTTCTCATCGTCTGGTGGGTACATGGCAATCTGGTGGTACCCCTGTATACATCTAAAAAACTCATCTTTTCGTGCCCTGAAGTTGCATCTACTAGCTGGTCAATCTTGGGCAGAGGAAAGCTGTCTTTGGGGCAGGCTTTGTTGAGGCTGGTAAAGTCTACACAGACCCTCCATTTACCGTTCTTTTTTTTCACTACCACTATGTTGGACAGCCATGTCAGATAGTGAACTTCTCGGATAGCCCTGGCTTCCAGAAGTTTGTCTACTTCTTCTTCTACTACTTCGACGTGTATCAACGTCGGTCTTCTGGCTCGTTGAATCACAGGTTTTGCCGACCTGTCGACATTCAGTCTGTGGCAAGTGACCTCGGGGTCAATGCCAGGCATTTCATAAGGTGTCCAGGCGAACACCTCAATGTTGGATCTCAAAAAATCTTCCAGTTCTCTTTCCTCTTCTTTGGCTAAGCCTGAACCGAGAAGAAAGAAACGTTCTTCGTCGCCCTCCTGGACTAGGATTTTCTTTAGTGTTTCTTCACTCTTTTCGGTTGGCTCCTTGCCGACATCATCTAGGACCTTCATGTCCTGGTCTTCAATCTCTGCCACTTTTGGCTCTTGAATGTTGCAAGTGGACTTTGTTGCTGCCATGGAGTAACTTTTTGCCTACAGTTGATCTCCTCTGACTTCTTCAATTCCATGCTCTGTGGGGAACCGTAGTAGTTGATGCAATGTTGAGGGAACTGCCCCCATTGCATGCAACCATGGTCTTCCCAAGATGATGTTATATGGTGAGGGTGTGTCAATTACCATAAATTCTGTTTTGATCTTCTTAGTACCAGCTTGTACTTCCACGCTTGCTGCGCCCAGTGGCCATGTCGGCGTTCCATTGAAGCTGACCATAGGGTTGCTGGATTGTTCCAGGTCGCCAGGATGAAGGCCCAGCTCCTTGTAACATCTGACGTACATGATGTCACAAGAGCTGCCTTGATCTATTAGGATGCGTTTTACTTGGCATTCCCCAACCTGGAGGGATACTACCAAGGCATCATTATGCGGATGCTGGACCAGCTCCAGGTCGGTTTCAGTAAAGGCTATCACCGGCCCTTGGCACTCTTCTGGCCAATGTCTTTTTTCCCCGATTTGGTAGACATGCTGTAAATGCCTTACCCTCTGGGTCTCTCCTCTGACTTCGTTCTCGTTGACCCTTGAGTGGATCACAT